ATTTGTCAAACAGTTGTCACATTTGGATCCAATTGAAAGCAAACAAACAAATCAAAGCAAATGAATGAAGAAGTATTGGCACAGAGGGAGAGCGCCGGCGGACGTATTGGACACATGTGTGCCTTTGATGGCCAGACTTGTCTTATGTATGTCTTCGGAGGATATATGGGATATACTGTGAGTCCCTTTCCACCACTCGTCCCCTCATATCACTTAAATCCAATTGAAATCAATTTGACATAAATTGTCATTTATTTCATTTGACTCATGCTTTCTATCAATGAATGTGTGAATCGATTACGAAATTTAAATCATTTATTGGTCCAACACTTGAGACTCAAATGTCAGTTGTATTTGGCATTAGGATTGAGTCGTCAATGCATTTGAGTTGATATTAATTGAAGGGACGGGTCATCGACTCTCTAATGGCTATAATTGAGTTTCCTTTCAATTGACAACAATTTAGGACGAAATGCAGACAAACTATTTGTCGTCAGAAGAGCTTTGGGTTTACGACACACTCATTGAAAAATGGTTTGCAAATGATTAACAGAATATTCTGAAGGTTTAGTTGTGAAGGCATTCTTACGGTATTCTTATAACATTAGGTCTATGAGGAGGTGTACCGGAGAGACATCAGCGGCCGATATACCGACCGGCACTTCGGGCGCCTGTTGTCTACTAAATGGTTGTTATATTTATATGTTTGGCGGTTATAATGAAGAGGGAAACTCTAACCAACTCTACAGACTTAATATGAGAACATTGAAATGGAAACTATTGAACCCATCGGGCAATAGACCGCTTGCCTGTGATAAGAGTGTTTGTTGGCATTACAACCAAAGGTATGACACTTTGCTACCAATGCATACAATTAACAAATTGTCTTATTTACTCATAATTACCCCATTTATCAGAATTTATATATTCGGTGGTTATGGCTGTATCCCAGACACTGATGACTATAATTATCAGTTTGTTTTCGACCCGAAATCTCATTGGGTATGTCTTACATGTGTGTCAATTGAATTGATTAACAACTATATAATCTTGACGTCTTCAATATAAAGCATTACAAGAGAGGATGGAATAATCAATTGGTTTATTACGACATTGAAGGCGACCAATGGGTTTGGCCTCACGTTGAAGGCATAGCACCCTTACCTCGTGCTGCACACGCCGCAGCAATAGTCTCACATCAAGTCTTCATTTTTGGCGGAAGACATCAAGGATTGCGAATGAATGACATCTACTCTATTGATATGAGACAAATGTCTTGGAATGAAGTCATGGCTTATGACACAAATGAATCCATTGTACCGATCGGCAGATCGTGGCATTCATTCACTCCTTTATCTGACCAACAAATAGTATTATACGGAGGATTCAGTCAAGATAATAGACCTCTCAGTGATTGTTGGATATTAGATATCCAGTCCATGACATGGATCAGTATAAACTTACCATTCAATAAGCCTCGTCTCTGGCATTCGGCCATTGCATCGCCGTTTGGGGAAAGTATGTCTTTTACACATAACTTATTCAATTCACACTTAACTCCTTATACCGTAGTATTAAAGTGACCTTGCTATTCTATGTTGTAGTCATATTGTTTGGTGGCGCCCAACAGAATATTCTCAATTTCAATAATCTGCAGAATACCAAAGATGTCGGTTTAGTTGATTTGTTTGAAAAGCATTTTACAAGATTTGTTATCTTTATGTTTAGCTCTATTCGGGGGAAATAATAACACTTCGATTCGTCCCAAAGTCACTGTTGAGACTGTGTTTGGACGCATCGGTTCTCAATTCGCAGTCATTGCAAAAGCAATGGAAATATTTGCCAAAACATATCAAAAGGCTTTTGGATTTGAGAAAGCAAACACTTTTGACAAACTCAGCCGGATCTTAATTACTCTCAAACTAAATTTTCTACTGATTTACTTTTGTTTATTATTTGCTTGTTTGCTAAACAATATAAAGTAATTGTCAGAACTGTCCGATGTATTGGAATTAAAAAGGAAGTAGGTCATCTTTAAATCTGTTATTTTTCATAGCAATTGTTCGGTCAGTTTCGGGCAACACTTTATTCTAATGTTTGAATTTGTACTGAAATTTTTATTACTTTAATATACCGTAAATGGTTTATT